CAAAGCGTGTAACGAATAAGGCCAATTTTTGTACAATAACATACAATATTAATATTTATAAATTCATTTTTTATACATTCTTTTTTGTAAATACTGTAGTGTTTTTATACTATTGCTCAAGAAAAAGTAAATGAGAATGTGTTAAAAAAAAGTAAGATATTATGTATTGCCATAATAACGGAGACAAAAGAAATTAGTTATTAAAACTATTATTTCATATTGTTTCATAATTTGTTGAAATAAATCTCTTCATTAAACAGCACTTGGGAAATATTGAGAAAAAAAAAAATATATATATATATATATATATTTTTTCCCAATATTTCCCAAGTGCTGTTTAATGAAGAGATTTATTTCAACACATTTCGAATCATAATAGTTTTGATAACTCATAACTCAGTAAATAATATTTGACTAGATATTTTTTAAGACACTTCTATACAGCTCAAAGTGCCATTTAAAGGCTTCACTAGGTTGTTATGGCAGGTTATGGTAATTAGGCAAGTTATTGTATTCTAGTCATTAGACTATCGGAAAAAAATAGCTTAAAGGGGCTAATAATTTTATCCTAAATATGGTGTTTAAAAAATGTATTGCTTTTATTCCAGCCGAAATAAAACAAATAAGACTTTCTCCAGAAGAAAAAATATTATCAGACATACTGTGAAAATTTCCTGAATCTGTTCAACATAATTTGGGAAATATATTAAAAAAAAGAATAAATAAAAATCAAAGGGGGCGAATAATATTAACTTCAACTGTGTCTGTGTTTGTGTGTGTTTGTGTGTGTGTGTGTGTGTGTGTATATATATATATGTGCAAATGCCAACCTTGCTTTTTTTGTTTGTTGAAGAAATAGGGTTTTTTTGGGTAATCAAGTATTTACAGTCCTTTAGAAATACTCAAAAATGCATCTGTCAGTGTTTTCAGGCTATTCTTTTTGATTTACCAAAGTCACACAAGAGGCAATTTCACATGCGTCACATCCATAACGGAGAGATGTCACATCCATAATGACACTAATTTGATGAGATAAATGTGAAAATATTACATAAAATAAAACCAATAATTTTTGTTATATATTGAGCTCTCTTAACTTAAACTCTTCTCCTTTTGATTATTTTTGATAATTTTATCTCCTTTTGATCTTTTTTTGGGTTGTGCAGTTTAATTGACAGAATTTCTACAAAGTATGCTGCATACTGTAAACTCGCAGACTTTTTTGTCATATCCATAAAGCATGTTTATTTCCCTCATTTAAAGTACAAAACATGTTTACAGATTGATATTTTTCTGGTCCTTTAACTCTGTGGTCAGTTGTTCTAATAAATATAAACAGAAGTTTTTCAATATAATGTTAACGTATACTTTCTTTTATGTTTTGAGTTTTTACTGCATATGTCACATCCACACACACATGCACTCTTTTTAAAAGTTATATGGTTTATTTTATATGTTATTGTTAGATGAGTTGCAGTTTTGGCTTTGGTACTAATCTAATGTATACACACAACGACTATATTATTGTTAAGCATAGAAGAGAGAACTGTGAGGGGTGAACTCCTTTATACTCAGCACAATATAATATATTAGTACTTTGGTCTTGTGAAATTCCTTAGTACTTGATTTAAAGATTATGACAGTCAATCATGTTTCCAAAAAGGAAGATTAATCTCTGTATGGCATCTCTGCAGTGTTTTATAAGGGCTGAACCCCTGTGGGGTTTAATTATAGAAGGTGCTTCAGGTCTGAATTTAAAGCATGACTGATATTGAATCTAAAGTATTTTAAGAAACTGAGAGTGAAGAAACAGATGGCAACCATTTCAACAGTTTATTAGCTGCAAAAACACATTTTTATTAAGTAAATATGTTTCTTGGGTACTGCTAAACAAAACAGCTGCACTGATTTAAAAAAGATTACCCATCCTTATGTGGACATGGCCTGAGATGCATCCTATAATTTGCTTGAGGGATTCTCCCATGTTTTTTGTTAGATCAGATACAGTTGCGGCAGAAAGTTAACGAGAATCATTTATTTTATTTAATAAATTTCCATTAACTATATATTTTTAACATCTACCACTATCCCAACCCTAAACCCATCACAGTCATGTAAAAACAGTAGTTGTATTGAGTATTATTTATGTTATTTAGGAAATTACCAAGAAGTTTTATATTTAAACGTCTATCCAACACTAAACCCAACCATCAAAATACTGTAAAATATGAATTATTATTACAGTGTTATAATTATGACATGCTATATTGATGTGCTTATCAAAAAAAAAAAAAAAAATATATATATATATATATATATATATATATATATATATATATATATATATATATATATATATATATATATATATATATATATATATATATATATATATATATATATATATATATATATATATATATATATATATATATATATATATATATATATATATATATATATATATATATATATATATATATATATATATATATATATA